GTAAGTGGAAGGGACTTTCAATATCCAAAATTCCACTTGTTTTGTCATGGTACCTGCCTTAATTGGGAGGATTATCTTGCCTACTGGCCACTCTGGCATTGAGTTGAATCCGATTAGGGGAGATGTTGCGGGTGCCATGTCTTTGTCCTCCAGTTTTAGTTGTTTGAAGGTTTCTTAATACATTATCTCACATGAGCTTCCTTGGTCAATCAGAATCCGCTTGATGTCAAAATTCTTAACGCGTAGAGTGACCATCAATGTGTCATTGTGAGGGCAGTATATCCTTGCTAAATCTTTGTCTGAAAAAGATATGACATTTGTGGCTTCTGTTCTCCCCTTTTTGATGGCAGGTTGTGCACTTAATACGTCCCTTAAGTGCTCAGCCTTTTTGATCATTCCCCTGAGCTCACATACCCGCTCAGGTTCGAATACCCCATGTATTACGTTAATTACGCCTTGAGATAGAGCGTCGACCGGCATCCCGTTTGGGTTGTTGTGGTCCTGGGGAGCTAGCTGTGTTCCTCCTTCTATGTATTGGTCTAGGTGCCCAGCTGCCACTAACTCCTCCAGATGCTACCTCAACGACATGCAATATTCAGTGTGATGCCCCTTTTCATCATGGAAAGTGCACCGGGACCTTTCGTCATAGTCTTTTTGTGCTTCTCCCAACTTAGCTAGCCATCGGACGAAAGGTTCATTGCGTATCTCACTGAGAATTCAGTAGATTGGTTTTTTGAACACTGTGGTAATGGCAGTGCGGACTCTTAACTTTCTTTTGTCTAGGTCTTCTCTGTTAGCCCGCCTGCCTCACCCATTCTTCTTGGTTGTCCTACCGTGTTGACTTTTGTTGTAGTCTTTCTATCTGGCATTGCTGTTGTGCCGGATTTTGCCTTAGCACAGGCGCTATCTTCCTCCACACGAATATGTTGGTGCACTCTCTTCATTAAGGCCTCCATCGTGAGGAGCGACGTCATTGTAATTGAGTCCCTGAATTTATTGCCGACTGGCAGACCCCGTTTGTATTGTGCTATGGGTAGGTTTGTGGGGCAATCCCCAATCTGGTCGAAGGTTTTCCAGTAATGACTGTTGTAGGATCACAACGTCTCCTTGTCGCCCATGTTAATGGAGAGTAGCCGGTCGATCTCCACTGGTGTCTTGGTGTTCGTTCTGAACCTAGTCACGAACGCCTCTGCCAATTGTGCCCAGGAGGCGATGCTGCCTTCTGGTAACCTTTCGAACCAGGTTAGACCTAGGTCACCAAGGCTGGATGGGAACAGGACACATATCAAGGCCTCATTTCACCGGTATACCGCCATAACCTGGCGAAAGTGGCGAAAGTGCATGCAGGGGTCCGTCTTCCCTTCATAAGTAGTAAATTTGGGCTGGTGGAAGCCTGAAGGTAGCAGTACGTTCTCAATCGCTCTGTAGCCTTGCTAATGCTTTGTCTGTTGGTTCATAAGCAAGGCGCGGCATTGGCATTCCTACCTCGACGCTTCCATGCGTCTGAGGGGCCAACTACTAAAGAGTCGAAACTCTGCACGGGTCGCATGCCCTTTGTTCAAGCACAGTTCGCAAGTCGGATGATCTAGGCAACTCCGTGTGCCTAGATGACGTTTGGTGCGTGTGCGAGGGCCGATAGGTGCTTCCCTCAGTACATGACCTCTCAATTCTCGTTCTTTCAGATCTGGAGTAACGAGTCTTGGAAGTCCTTTATTGAGTGTCGCCTGTTCTAAGGCTCCTACTTTCTGCTTGCGATGGTGTGGTATGCCTACCACGATCTTCCGAGTGGCGAGGAGGCGTGTTGCGTTTGCGCCCCTCTCTTGTCGCCACCCATTTTCCTTTTATCTGGCGCTTCATTGACTCCATGTCTGCCGCTATCTTCCTTATTAACTCGTCCTGTTCCTTCACGCGATCCTCCAGAACTTGAGGGTCTATCCTCCGCCTCTATCTTTCAAGACTTTGAGAGCAACAGGGGCTGTTAGCCTGCCTTCCCCTTGCTCCCTCTGGGGGTTCTGTCATTGGGGTTCTAAGTCCTCCATGGGAGGGATAGAAGGCAAACCTTTGGGCCTCCCACCCCCCTCTGGGGTTTTTCCATCGATAACGGATTGCGGCAAGTCTTCATTGTGCGCCATTGCTTCCAATTAGAGAGGAAAAACTTGATCAAGAGGTTTTGTTCTTTCTGGACTTCCCACAGACGGCGCCAATTGTACGAGCACAAAATAATCTTCTCGTATGATCCTGTTGATCAAGTTTGTAATCCTCCAAACGTCATCGCTTTACTCCCTAAAAACATGAACGTGAGCTAGCTGGCGGGTGTGTGCCGGATACCTCTCCGATGCCTAAGTCAGAAAAATAGACAAATAGACAAAAACTCTGTGTATTCGAGAATCAAAGTTGTGTTACCTCTACATAGGTTATGTTGTAAGCTTTTATAGGTTCCGCATGGCACAATCCTAGTAGGACTCTTATTCCTTCATGTAGAGTCCTCATAGGAATCACACTCCTGAAAGATAATGCTTATCCTTCAACACCCCCCTCACTGCTTAAAACCAAGTGAGATGGTTTTACCACGGTTACAAAAACTCTGTGTATTCGAGAATCAAAGTTGTGTTACCTCTACATAGGTTATGTTGTGAGCTTTTATAGGTTCTGCATGGCATAATCCTAGTAGGACTCTTATTCCTCCATGTAGAGTCCTCATAGGAATCACACTCCTGAAAGATAATGCTTATCCTTCAACACCCCCCTCACTGCTTAAAACCAAGTGAGATGGTTTTACCACGGTTGGATGACAGTACGACCGAGCTAACACAAGCCCTTTGTCATACTTCATCCAATGTCTTCGCATGCAATACATAGCTCGGCTCTCCTTTCACTTGTACCTCAGTTTTGGCCTGCTTAGACCGAGCTAACTATACCAAGCTTCGACCGAACTAAAAAGAGCAAGGTCCTCTGCAGGATGCCCAAATACCTCATCTCTAAATACTTTGACCGAGCTAATCACCACTCCGACCGTGGTGACTGTAGCCATATTTGGATCGAGCTAACTACAAGGTCCTCTACACTCAGCCCTTTTTACTTCGGCCCATAGAACGGCCCATTATCGCGGCTTGGCCTAGCTCGGCCCTAATGCACATAAAAACTCCCTCTCATGTCCTTAGGGGGGAGTACAAATGGAAATTCTTAAAACAGAGAAAGATAAGAGTCCTTATCCTCTGGAAGGAAGGGAGATCGCAGTCGTGTTTGGATCCAGCACAATCTAATCTGACACTGGGTTAACAATACAGCCACTCACAGTGTGGGTTGGCCATAGAAGGTATGACTTATAGGCCCAAACATGAGCTAAAATATTGTTAATCTTTACTTTTCAGTTTTGTCTAGGTTAGATGATCCTAAGAATTTAAAGTTTGTGAAAATTTTGTAAAAAGATCATTAAAGACAAAAATAAGCAACTTTTTAAAGGTTTTTCAACAGAATTAACTTATTTTTATTTTTAGTAGACTTCTTCAAAATATTTCTAATTATTTCATAATTTTTAAGACGGTATAGCCTAGACAAACTTAAAAATAAAAAATGTTAACTCAGTTGAAAAGTTCACTAGAAAGAAACATTTATGCACAAAGTAAGTCAACCTATAAGCCGAGCCTTACACATATTATGTAAAATTAATAATAATAATATTATGGGGTACTTATGTGTAGGTCATAATAAGTGGATTTATTATCTAATAGGTCCTATGAGAAAAATTTGTCACAAAAAAAGTCTCTAATTGTAAGTTTTAGCGACAATTTATAAAAATCATGACAAGAAAAAAGTCACTAATTGTCAATTTTTAGCGACGTATGTAAAAAATTGTCTCAAAAAATTATTTTTAGTGACAATTTTATCAAGACTTATTTTCAATAGGACTTGATGAGAATTAAGTCCAATTATTAGGACCTATTGGTAGTTTACCTTAATATTTATTATTTAATATGTAATGTCTTCTTGCTATTCATTAACTCCACAGTGTCCTCTTATAATGTATAAAAACCTGAAACCAATCAGAGAATTCAGCTGCCCTATCATGCAGATTAGGTGACTCCACTCATTTCTACTCTAGAGATACTATGAACCCAAAAAATTCTCTCTAAAAGTTCAAATTCATATTAATCTTAACCTAGACATCAAAAGAGCAATCCATTAGTATGGAGAACTTCTATGTGTTTGCATGAGAAAATTGTGTCTGCATGTTCGGATTGTTTCAGATGACTTGATGGGTCAGCTCAAGACCAAAACCTTCAAATGATATGCTCATTTTCTTAGCCTCAGAACGAACCAGCAGGGTTCCAAACCCAAATCTAACTTTAGTTAGTGGGTTCTAGGAAGAGTAATGCTAGGACACTACAGGAAATTAGGGATTTAATGGCGTTTTATTGAACGTCACTTTTTCTAATATTTAATGGCATTTTTTAAACGTCGCATTTGTTATTAATTAAATGGTACTGTTTTATGAATAGAAGACGTTTGAAAAACGCCTCCAAATCCTGTCTCTCTTCACACCCTCTTTTGTCTCTCCAAACCTTTATTTTGAAAACCCTATTTTGAGCACCGCCGTTTAGACGATCGAATCCTGTATCACTCACTCTCTTGCTCTCTCTTTCTCTCAGAGGATTGAATCTATTTGATTGAAAAAAAAGATAAGTTCTCTCTCTTGATTCTTCTTCAGTCTCTTACTCAGTGATTCTTCTTCGATTCTTCTTCAATTCAGTCATTCATCTTGGGATTGCGATTTCGAAGTTCGATTTTGAGCACAACTCTGTGATTTATCTCTGTGGATTTGGAACTCTTCGTCTTCCTCAATCAGAGGTTAGTTGTTCTGTTTGTGATTTATCTCTATTTTGGATCAGTGTTTTTCTTAGTGAATACTTTTGTTTAGGGCTCTATATAGGTCTTAAGCCCTTAGGGCTCTTGATTCTTCTTCACTCTCTTACTCAGTGATTCTTCTTCGATTCTTTTTTAGTTTGGTGATTCATCTCGGGATTGCGATTTTGAACACAGCTCCATGATTTATCTCCGTGGATTTGGAACTCTTCGTCTTCTTTGATCAGAGGTTAGTTGTTCTATTTGTGATTTATCTCTGTTTTGGATCAGTGTTTTGAAAAATGCTGAATTAGTGTTTTGAAAAATTGATCTCGGTGATTTAATCTCTATTTCAGTAATTGTTTTTCACTGATGTGTTGCTCTGCACTATGAGATCTAGATTGAGCTTTCAGTAATTGGTCTCAGTGATTTCATCTATGTTTATATTGTGTTCGATCTGTCATCAATGTGGTTATGGATTTTGATTTTTGTGAATTCGTGTGTGATTGGTTAATTTTGTTTGGAATTATGGAATTCACTGATCTGAGTCGACGTGATCTGATCATAGGGTTCTTCTCAATGTATATTTTTGCGTTACAATTTAATTTATATTATTATTTATTGGGGATTGTTTGACTTTGCTCCCTAAAATTAGGTTGTGTTTGGTTGAACCCCACTAAAGAAATCATAAGTTTTCTCACTCTACTCGGCGAAAGAGAAGACAAGGTAACTAGGTCTTTTTTGGTGTCAGGATTGTGACTGATGATGGGTAGGAACTATATTCTTAATCATGTGTTGACATGATTTCACTTTTTTGATAGTGGACAAGGTTTTGCTTGAAACTCTAGAGGAAGAGATTGACTTCCAAAGTTTGAGTATTAGAGAGATAATTTTGCTTGTAGAGTATCGGGAGCGGATGTCGGTATGCACTATGCTTCAATTTATGATTACTTTGTTTTAATGGACATGATGAGTGGATATCATTACATGTTATGCATCAATATTTTTGTTGATAATTTGTTATTGAAATATCACCATTTTCTTTCTTGTTGTGTCACATTTTATTGCCTGTGTAATTTATTTGGTTTATTTTAGCATGTCTAATTCAATGCCTTGGTTCCGTTTGGTTCTCTTTACAGAGCAAAGGGGGAAAAACATTAGAACCACCTTCAACCAATCAAAGGTATGGAAATTCTCCAAACAGGTATTCAAAAGTTTGGAAAGTTGTGAGAATCTTTTGCAGCCATGTGTGATGGGTGATCCTCAAGAAATTATTGGTCTGATTCTTTAAGGAATCATGTTTTAGTTATTGTTCTGGAGTAATTGCTCATAATACTTGAACAATGCTCATTTTATTCCTTAAACCCTGTATCACCAAGCTTAAATCAGCCCTAACATTCCTTTTGGCCTTCAATTTTAACGTCCAAGCAAGATTAGTAGTTGGTGTTCCTTTTTCTTTTTTTAACCTCCAGCAACACTCCGGCCACCAACTCCAGCGTACATCTTTGACCACCCCACCTCAAGCCACCAACAACAAATCACCAAACATGTTTCTTTATTTTTGTTTTCATTTGTATTCAAAACAAATTACACCAAACAAGTTGTTAGTTGGTTTCTTGTTTTATGTAGCAATATTATCAAACAATCCCTTAGGAATTGGTTTTTGATTTTCTAAAGGCATGTATGTTCTTTAACTTCTATTTCTAATTATTATTTTTGCTGTGCAATTTTTGTAATCCTTTCACCAACTATAATGAAGATGAGAACTTTGAGTCTGAACAAGGAGGAAGGTCCAATAATGATCCAGCAAATCTTGTAGTTCAAGAGAGTTCTAATTACCCTAATTATCAGTCTTACATGAAGAAAACACCAAGGTCAAGATGGTCAAAACAACACACAAAATTGTTCTATGAAGTAAATCTTGCCATAGTTTCAAATTTTATTTATAGTATTACTGGAGAAACCTCTTTTTGTATCTCAATTTAATATTTGATATAGAAAATGAAAACTTATGTATATCCTTGCATGCTAGAGCTGAAGTTGAAGTTAAAGTTAAAGTTCAGACTTTGCTTATGAGGTATCAGGAAGCTAGGCAAGACTGTAGCACGAGCTATTTATAAGAGAAAAAATTTGAGCAAAAATCATCTAACTTCTTATTATGATAACGCTTGATCAATGTGTCATTTAAAATAGATTTTCATTATTCATTTTCTTAATTATCTCTTTCATGCTTTCCCTTTACCACTTTTTGATTATAAGATGTCTCTAGCTATCTGTTGCTAATAAAAAAAAAAGATGTATTTAAGCTATCTATTTTAATTTGTGTTCTAGGTTGTGCGGCAGTTTGGTACAGACATATCAATGATTCAACTACCTTTTCCTGGTTGTACATGCAACCAAGTCAAGTTGAAATATAATAAGAAAGAGGAGCGTCAGCAACCCTTGAGGGTTCAAGAAGCTTTAACTAATCGTGCCGAACGTAGAGGTCTGTCCTCTCTTTCTCGAACCTGTAACCAATCATGTTATGAATCTGTTGATCACAATGTATTTTGCTTTTGAAAAGTATGAACAAGCCTTTGTCACATTATAAGATTCTTGCATCATTTCAGAAGTCTAGAAAGGTTTATTTTAATTAATGATTTATAATTGGGAGTTTTGCAACTCCTCCACCTAGTAACTACTTGTTTTAATAATAGGAGGTCACTTCCATGTCTGCTACATTTGTTGAATAAAATTAAAGGTTGAGGGGGTGTTAAAATAAATTATTATTATTATTTTTTGTGAGGAAGTAAATATATGGGGAAAGAAATAAAACCATTAAAGGATACCCATATTATTTCCCTTTCTCTCTCTCTCTCTCTCTCTCTCTCTCTCTCACACACACACACACACATACACACATACACGCACGCACGCGCACGCGCATGCGCGCACGTGTGCGCACATATATCCTGATACCCCAGATTAAAAAAATAATAATAATAACGCCCAAATAGTACACATTAATGTGTGTTTGGGAGGGGAAAGATTGGGTACATACCTAATCTTTGGCATAGTGTATAAAGTGATTGCAGGGTGAACATGAGGAGGAATTGGCAAAACCTGAGCAGGGAGAGAAAGGAGAAGTAGAATCTATAGAGCCTGAAGTTTCTCGAGTTCAGAGTCCTGTGAATTCTTATGATAGTGACGATGAGTTGTGTAGATGGAGTCAATATAAAAGTGAATTTTAATGTTCTAAGACAATGATATGAACTAGACATATATAACTTTTGACACAATAGAATGGATTTTGAAGAACAATCCCCTATATAGTACAAAAATTAAAGACTGAACCCTACTAAAGAAATCATTATCAAGAAAACCATTTTCAACAAAATCGTTACGGTTGTTAGTGATATATGTTCCATGTGTTTAGCTTGAATATTCAGTTCGTTGTTTTTATCATATATTATTATATCAGATTGTTTTTCTATTGATAACTGTAATAATGAATTGTGAATTTCATTAGCTGTCTTGATTCAGCATGAGTCGTTCATATTCTAATATGTGCCTTTTGGTCGATGTAGCAAGTAGCTGAGTGGGTAATGACAACGGTGCAAGGTTTTGCTGGTAAGACGATGAATTATTTGAATACTTTCACCTTGTTAATTATGTAAACCTTGCCATCATACTTGGAGCTTTCTTTTTGAATAAAATTATAGTCAATTGAGTTCAGTTATAGAGCCAGTAGAAGTTGTCATGATAGCCATCCCAAAATAAGCTACTGTTTTTGCCTATGTGCATTGATCTTTGAGGGAATGCAATGTCAAGTTTTTGCATCTTCTTCTTCTTCTTCTTCTTCTTCTTCTTCTTCTTTTTGTATTTTTAGCCACCCCAGAAGCAGCTACTTCTGTTGCCAATGTATTGCGATCTTCCAATAGGAATGCATTGTCAAGTATTTGCATTTTTGAAATTTGGTATTTTTCACTCTTGGAGGTGGCTTTTTGTTTGTTTTGAAGCGTGAAAAATTTAGTTACATAATCTTTGCTTTCCATCTTTTTTGTTTTGGTACTAAACTCTTAATGCAAGAACAGCAGCACAGATCTTGCTGCTGCATTCTACATGAAACCAATTTGTGCCTCAATGGTGAAGGCTTTATGAATAGAGAAGATTTTTACCTCTCATGCATTACAGTATCAAAAATTGGGACATTAGAGCAATTACTTAACGAACTTGGTAATGAATTTGTTGGTTTCATCTAGAAATGCCAATGTGGTATAAAAAAGATGATAGTAACAGTCTTTGTGGAGTGCCAACATGTTATTTCAAACCTCTATGTTGCCTTTAACTCATTTTCAAGTTCTTTCTGAGGACTTAAAAGAGTGGTCATTCATGAAGTTGTATATGCTCTAGTTTATTTAAGCACAACGTTTTGTTCTTGAGTCAGCCAGTTTATGGACTAGCCCTGATTGTTTTGACTTTATCAGCTTTATGTTCGAGCTTGTAAATGAGTGAGAAGCTAGACTCAAAGTGGTTGTACTAATATTTATCTAATGTTGAAACATCTCTATTGTAAATTCTTAGTTTTGCTTGTATGATACTTGTGAGCAAATGATGTAGAATAGAAGACAAACCTAGCAGCTGCCATTGTGGTGACAAAGGAAGATAAATAATTGGCAATTTCTCAGCACAAAAATGAGCCTAGATGGAGGTCACTTGAGCAGAGGATCTAAGTAGCTCTGTTAGGAGTAGGGCTTGCTTTTTTAATAGAGACTTGTACATCCTCCTTTGATTAAAACCATGGTTGGTCTCTGCTAATGCCATTTGGGAGTCACTTCTGTAAGATCCTTATCTTTGTGATGTGATGACCTATATCAGTCACTTGAAGTTGAAGTATGATTATTGGATGGGTCACTATACATTCCTGCAGCCTAGCTGTTACATGCTGATTGTGATCGGTGTTTTCCTCAACAAGCTGACATTATAATCTCTCTCTCTCTCTTCCTTCTCTGTGCTGCTGTTACTTTGTGTTTGTGTTGGAGCTTTTCCTTCTCTGTGCGGCTGTTGCTGCTGCTGCATTGTGTTTGTGTTGGAGTTAGTTGTTGCTACTGCTGCTTTGTGTTGTGTTGGAGTTAGTTACTGCTGTTGCTGCTTTGTGTTTGTTCATCTTTCGCTCTCTTATTGTTCTTAATACTTGAAATGGTTGATTTATTTTTATTTATTTTTTTCTTGTTGCTGCAATTCTTGTTCCTTTAATTGGTGTTAGTGCTCAGTGGAAGACTTGGAAGCTGCTGCAAAGTTGTATATTTCTTATTAGTTAGAACTGGCAACTACTCCATATGGTTCACCCCTAGATGCCACAAAAATGTTTTAGCCTGTAACCCTTCCTTGTAAAAGTCACTTTAAAGCAGCATCTAAGATGAGAGCCTTGAAGGTTGTAATTGTTAAAACAACTTATGGGGTTCTGTGCAAATTTTTTGGCAAATCACCTCTTTTAAATGTTGTTCATCTCACACTGATGAGAGCTACTCTTGAAGTGCTGTTGCTGCTTTGTGTTTGTTTATCTTTCACTCTCTTATTGTTCTTAATACTTGAAATGGTTGATTTATTTTTATTTATTTCTTTCTTCTTGCTGCAATTCTTATTCCTTTAATTGATGTTAGTGCTCAGTGGAAGACTTGGAAGCTGCTGTAAAGTTGTATATTTCTTATTAGTTAGAACTGGCAACTACTCCATATGGTTCACCCCTAGATGCCACAAAAATGTTTTAGCCTGTAACCCTTCCTTGTAAAAGTCACTTTAAAGCAGCATCTAAGATGAGAGCCTTGAAGGTTGTAATTGTTAAAACAACTTATGGGGTTCTGTGCAAATTTTTTGGCAAATCACCTCTTTTAAATGTTGTTCATATCACACTGATGAGAGCTACTCTTGAAGTTTAAGTAATTTGACTTCTTCTTGACCATTTTGATTTTAATTGATGTATTTAAAGTCTGAACATGAATTGTTTCCATTCTTGGGTATGCAATGCATTGTTTTTTTATTTTTTATTTTGTTTTCAAGCTTAGTTTATTTATTATTTTAATAAACATCAATTATTAGTTCTTAATAATTGTTTATGACAGGTATTTTTTTAGTTCAACCATATAAAATTAACAGAACTTAAAAAAAAAAGAAGCTATGGCGACGTTTTTTAAACGTCACTATATCCCAACCCCAACGGTTAGATTTTTAAAATGTATAAATGTCTATGACGGCATTTCAAAAACGTCGTTAAATATCATAGTGACGTCATAGTACCGTTAGGGTAAGACATTTGGCAGCGTTTTTAAAAACGCCGCCTATACTAATATATTGACATTTTTCAAACGCCATAAGCTATAACGACGGCCGCGTTGTCAGCATTTGATACTAAACGTCACAAAAAGAATTAGCGATGTTTTTAGTACCTATGGCAGCGTTTTTAAAACGCCGCTAAAAGTCGATTTTCTAGCAGTGGGATCCCAAATGTTTTATCAAATATTCTACCAAATGTCTCACATGTGTGTGGTGCTCACATAGGACCCACATGGTGTGGGTCCCATACTTATGTGAGACATTTGGTAGAACATTTGGTAAAATATTTAGGTCCCTAACATTTTTCTTCTAGGAATGCACTAAATTTAGTTGCATCATTAGTTCAAGTTATAATTCAACAAGTGATGCAATGATGTAATAATGGATGAAGAAGACAACATACGGTGGGTGAGAAGATAAGAGTTAGGGATTTCAGAAGATTCACCTCAGACACTAAAGTGTCACCCAAATGGATGAGTACTTGAACATTTTTTCAGCAAATTGGAACAGAGTTGTTCAAGTATGCAATGAAGTCTGCATTCAGCAATATAGATAACCTGAACCACCACAAATTTTTCAGACAGCTATGAGGAAGCAAAGAAGAAAAAGAAAAACAAAAAAACTGTTGTGGAGAAGAGACTAAAAAAATCAAGCGATGAAGAAAAGACAAAAAAAAATTCTTTGCGATAATCAAATAGTAAAGCAATACTTTAAAAAAGTTATATAGCCAAGTTCGAACAGATGTGGTACGTCATGTGATAGTGAACTCAAACTCTTTGATGAAGGGCAATCAAACAGAAGAAGTGAACTTAATCAAGCAATTTATGTAGTAGTAGTAAGTAATGAAACAGGCAATAGTAAAATTTATGAGAGCTTGCTTGTTTAACACCTACAATCTCATGTTTGGACTCAATCTTAAAATGTGTTATCAATAAGGAAATCTGTTATGTGGGCCTAGCTTTCTTACAATGATTGTCAAGAATTTTGAAGAATGGACATTGTAAAGACCGTTGTTTCCTATGGCGGACTTCTTGTTCACCACTCTCTTGTACACGTTTTTATTTTTCCTTATTTGTAATATTCCCTTTGTTGCTGACAAAATAAAATAAAATAAAAAGCAAAAGGGCAAGTTTTCAAGATTCCAATAACTTGATAAAATGAACTCTTTTTCCATAGTATTAATTTGTCCCACATCACTTATTTAAGACACCAAAACTATTTATATGGTTCTCAACTCTTCGTCAATTGATTTTGGGTTGGATACTGTTGGCTTTTTTGACTTTCGATGGTTAATAATGTAATTTTAAGCGTACCAGTAAGGATTAATAAGTCCTTATAGAAGTTTTAATTGTCAACCAATTATCAGACGATTGTGTTGAAGTTTTTTCAGCCTCAATGAAAAGAAATTTTACTAGTTACTTTGCATAAGGGAGAAAATTAAAGATATTGAAAATAGTAGTGGATAACACAGTTTCATGAACTGAATTTCATTGACGAGTGAACTTACAATAATACTTTCGCACTTTCACAACCTCAAAGGGTTTTATAGTAACAGACTACTTGAAATTACTCCCAAGAATTGAAGTGCAATATAGGAATTGAAGAACTGGAAATGTAAAAACTGAAAAGAAAAAAATACAAAGTAAATAATTGGTTTCTGGATCTGAGTATTGGTTCTTTCCTTGTTGGCCTTCTTTTCTATTTATACCCTTTAGCGGTAACCGTTGAAGTGGTCTTCTAACCATCGAAATGCCCTTCCACGCACTAGTTATGGCCTTAAACAGTTTACTTCCACTACGCCATTCTTGCAGTTAGACTTCCCTTTTGAATTTGAATTTGAAATTGTGAGTAATCGTTGGGCCACGTCACCCATGTCACCTTGCACCTTCTAACTGCTCCAATGCTTCGCAAATCCATTGCTACCAACATAAGCTGCCACGTGTCTGTTGCTGACTATAGACTTGCATTATTTCCCGAAATTATCCTTTATGAGCCATGTGTTAAGGTACGATTGGTTTATATAAAATATGTAGCCAACAATACCTCTCGCACTAATATAACCAATACTTGGTAATATTAATGGATCAGTGTGCTTTTCCTACGTCCTAAGACGTGCATGGAATTTATTTGACCTAGAAGTATAACCGTCTCCAGGCAATGGAACACTGAACTTCATTAAATTCTCCCTAGTGCTTGAACTGCCTCCACTATCTATGCAAACGAAAGGATTGATACCCGTCTGATGGCTAACCAAATCATCTCTTTCATTGATCAAGCATATGAAGAGTTCTTGGACAATGATGATCAATCTCAAAAGAACCTTCATGCATTTATTAGCCACATTTCTCTGCCTCCATTTATACAAGTTATGGAAGTCTTTGCAAAATACCAGCCCCAGGACCAAGAACTTGCCAAAATGGATCTCAAAAGCTCTTCCTCTGCTTAGAAACCTTTTGGATTTGACAAAGCTGCCTTCTCTTCTTCTGGAAATACTAGCTGGGGGTGCTTGGCCAACACCTAATCAACCTCAAACAAGGGAGCGAATCCATCATAGATTTTCTGAATTTGATGACCTCATTGCAATTCATCCCTCTATGTGCAGTTCTGTAGTTTACCCGTATATTTCCTTCGACCGTCTTCATTGCCTCGAAGTCAACTTCCTCTCGGCATGGTATACTTCTACCTTGCCGACCAGAATAGTGCGAAAGACCCCTCACCCTATCGAAGCTTTGGGAATCAGCCCTTCACTGTTAGCCAAGAAAGCAAAACTTTGCTTCTCTGATTGGCTAGAGTGTGTAAATAAGCCCCTGTTTCCACCTTCCTTTCGAGGGGACCTGTAGACACCCCATTTTTGACCGTCCTCAAGACTTGGACGTCATCGTTTGAACACTCGATGATTATCCCTGTTCGTGTTCATCTTGAGTTCCCAGAGGTCTCGGCTACGCGCCCTGCCTCAGGATCTCTCGACTCGACTGTTTTGTGTCTGGTTTTGCACCAAACACTTATTGTTTTGCTTCTGAGGGTGGGAAATAGCTTGTAGGCCATCCCCACACCTCACCGGCCATGGCTTGAGGCCACCGGCCTTGTTTCCTTGCCACCGGCCATTGGTGATGGCCGGTCGGCACTATTGATGATCGGTCGGCATTGTGTTTGGTCGGCCGGCCACTGTTTTTGATCAATCGGCCACTTTTCCTAGCCGAGGCCTTTTCTTGAGGGGGCTTGACCCTTTTGAACCTTTTTTCTAGCTTCTCCAAGAAGCTTGACCCTTTTAGCTTATCCAAGAAGCTTGACCTTTTTTTAGCTTCTCCAAGAAGCTTGACCCTTTTTAGTTTCTTGAGGAAGCTTGACCCTTTTGAACCCTTGGTTCTAGCTTCTTGAGGAAGCTTGAACCTTTTGAACCCTTGGTTTTAGCTTCTCCAAGAAGCTTGCACCTTTTGCACCCTTGTTCTAGCTTCTCCAAGAAGCTTGAACTCTTTGCTCCAAGCTTCTAAGAGAAGCTTGAACCCTTGTCTAGCTTCTCCAAGAAGCTTGGCCCTTTTGTCTAGCTTTTCCAAGAAGCTTGGCCTTCTTAGCCCTTTTGCTCCAAGCTTCTAAGGGAAGCTTGACCCCCTTGACCCCTTTTTTTGTTAGCTTCTCTAAGAAGCTTGGCACCTTGTCTTGCTCTATAAATATAGAGCCTATCCTTCCATTCAAGAGGTTCCAAGAATTGATCTAAGGCTCCATACATATATCTCTCTCCATATCTCCTCCATTTTAGCTCCAAATTGCTTGGTTCTTGGCTCCTTTGCACACCAACCCTTAGCCTAACACCTCCATTATCAACCTAAGGAGCTTGGAGGCCATTTTCAGAGGCTAAGGGACTTTTTTTTGTCCAAAAAGCTGCTGGT